GAGCGGTTAGGATGATCCTAGGAGTACAGAGCCAATTTTACCAGAAACTAGCAAAATGATGATAATATTAGCAAGGGGGTACGATTGCTTTCTGTAAGTACATCATAGATGTAACAGTTCTGCAAAAAGAATGGCTCCCTTTCCCTCATCCGCAATCCAGGGTGTAAAAGCTGGCCGTGAATAATTAACGCTGACAAGAAAGGATTTCTATCCATCAGAACAGTGAGGTTGTAGAAGTTTTTCCAATAAAAAAGTTCTGGTTTTGAACTGGAATTCAGGTTGTCAGTTAGTTATGAAAGGCATTATCTGAGAACAGAGGAATCGACACTGGTTGATTGAGAATTCCTTCCAGATGTGTGTCCCTGTAAGTTGAGCATTTGAGCAGAGCAGCCTTATAGGGACCGATTTGCCTGTAATCATTCTTACCCTCAGTAAGATGAATTGTCTTTGCTATGTAAAATGCAGGAATTCTGGAATAATTCCTCCCACAGTGAAAGTGAAGCAGAGCACTGAGAGGTACACTATCGAGATGTACAGGCTGAAAAAAATATAACCATGAAGAGTGAAGAAGAAGCAAGTTCTCCAAAATGACAGGAATGTTCTTGCAGGAGTTCTGCAGAATTGTGTTGATTACATTGTATTGTCTTGGTTGATCTCTTTAAGTTTCCAGTTTGCTCAGATACTTGCTGAACCTCACAGTGAGCTCTTTGCAGTAAAGATGTTCACTTGTGAGATTCTGGGAAGCAGTCAGCTGGCAGAGCTGACAACAGCAATGTAGCTATTCATCAAAAAAGCATCTGCATTAGGAGAATAAAACATCTCATTTGATTAAAAAATTTTTACTTCACCATTTGCATCCTGGTCTGGACATTCCACAGTGCTTTTACTATAACTTTTTACTCAACAGAAACCTTAAAGGACAGAGAAACGTTTTTTTTCTCAGTATCACTAGAGAGACATAAGTTATTCCTTATGACTTAAGAGATGTGACTTATTTACATCATCAGCTAAGGCAAGCTAAGTAGCTGTGATCCGACACAGAAGTGACACGCTGGTAGAGAGCGCTCCGTTCCTTGGTACTTCAGCAAGGCATCAGCATTATGCCTGAGTGAGACTTCCAAGGGTAAATATATATCCCGACTCTGTCCTCATCCTCTCTTGCATTTCTAAATGCATATTCCTGGATTTTATTCAGGCTTTGGATTATTCACTAAAGATATTCTACCTTATAGGAAAACTTTCTCATTCAGATACACGGTCATTGCGTAACTATACAGCACGAGTTTTGCCAAATGCCTGCTTGGACATCAATGCAGTCTTATATACAATAACTTTAGAACATTCTTATGTTCTGTAGGATTTAGACAGGAATTCAAGTTTACAGAGTTCATCTTAACTTACCTGCTGTCAGTTAATGCAGAGAAAAAAAAAGGAAAAATCTGAGGTATTCTTTTTATTTATTTTTCTTTGTTTTTAGGGTTCTCTTACATTTGCAGAAAATTATCTGAGAGGTAATGGATCATATGGACTGCCCAAATAGCATTACATTTCAACTGAAGAGATGATCTCAAGCCCCTATTTCCTTCACATAGCTTTCTGCAAAGAGGGAGGGCTTAGGATTCCTTTCTATTGAAATGATCTTTTGTGAATCTCCTTCTCATTATTTCAACATTGAACGCATATGTGATAAAAGATTAAGTATCTTGCATAGAAAGTAATGTAATATTATTCATATAACTTTAACATTCAGGTTATCCATAATGTTACTAATTGGACTTCAAAGGTTTTCTTTTCATCTTGCCTTGAGGCAAAGGCTCTAGAAAAGCAGCCAGTTCTCTGAACAGTTCTGCCTGTTGTAGGCAAGAGAAAGAACAGAGGAAAAGAAAAAAATAATTTTGACTTTGATAGATGTGACAATTGGTATAGTTGAGTCATAGTCAAACAGTAGGTGAGGATGTCTCAGTTAAGCACGTTTACCCTCTCCATACGGGTTGGTACTGTGGCACCGCTGAATGCAGATCACCAATCACTGAGAGCATAGTGCGCGTTGCGTGTGGGTGCCATGCTGCCCGAGGACGCTGCTTGGCTTTGGTTGCTCTCCTTTGTGGAAGTGCAGAGGTTGCTATTTTAAAGGCATTTGGAGAACAATTTTTAACTTGTTAAGAAAACATTTTTAAAAAAGCTTGCTTGGAGTCAGGGTGGTTCTTATTTCTTTTTTTTTTTTTTTTTTTTTGGTCAAATAATAAAGACTCATTCAAGTAATGTGGCTTAAAGGCTATGAGCTGCATTCAAACTTTGTAGGTCAGTTTGCTTATTTTACAGTCCCTGTGCTATTGGAGAGTGATTCTAGTAGCTACAGATTTTGCCTTCGTTCCCCACATTTTAATTAATTCCGTGTATTAATAGCACAGACACAAAACCAAGACCCTGCATTTTCAGGCAGTGATGTGCAGATCAAACCCCCTGTAGTTATCTATCATTTGTTGTGATAACAAATGAAAAAAACAAGCGTGGAGGTGGGAGAGCATTTTGGAAACAAGTCAAATGTCGTTCTCCTCACTCCAGGATTTACTACCTTAAAGCAAATGCACAGTATTCAGCTGGCATAGGGAATGATCTCAAGTGCTATGGAAGAAAAAAAATCTTTCACAATAACAAATCACTGAGAAATGAATATTCTTTGTTCAAGAAGGAACCAACTTTAGTAGGAAGATTGCCAGGGAACCAACAGATGACTGTGTAATTAAAGCCATATTTGCTGTGAAATATTCTTACTGGTGCCAACACAATATTTTTTTTCCTTTTTCTGTTTTTGTCTTCCAGGGTGGGATGTATGTCTTTCAGTTATTTGACTCGTATGCAGCTAGTGGCATGTGCCTTCTTTTTGTTGCCATATTTGAATGTGTCTGCATAGGCTGGGTTTATGGTGAGTGTCTGGAAATTGCTGTGGTTTGAATTGCTGTGGAAGTTTTCTGTTTGTATAAAAGCAGTGTGAAGGCCTTGTACCCTTATGGAGTGAGGCCTTCCACATTCCCATGCCCTACCAAAAGGGTGGAATCCCTTCCTTTCCACTCTAAATAAGAGAGACAGTGGAATCAATTATTTTTTCCCCCTTGGTCCTTGTCAGGGCTGACCTCCACCTTCCTTCACCAAGGGAGTCCCCAGCTGCCTGAGAAGGTAGGGATGGCAACAAGTCTGTCTTCCTTCACAGAGCATCTGTGCAGAGCCTGTTCCCTTCTGACACTCACAGATATTCCAGGGAAGTTGGAGTTCATGCCTCATTAGCACAAAATAGACGTAGCATCGTCCCTAGCTTTGCTCTTTCCATCTGTCAGCAAAGTTAAGAGAAAATCCCCACAGTGCTGGGTGCACGGTTACACCCTTGAGCATTTTTGGCTAACAAAGGACTAACAAATTGACTTTGTACAGCAACACATGAACTTCAGATCCCACATGTCCCCAGCTATCTAGGGATTCACACATTGGCTTGTAGCATACATATTGTGTTTAACAGGGCTTGCTCAGACTGTCACTGACCAGAAGCCGTTTCTGTTTGGTAGCTCGCCCACTCCTCTCTGTGCATATTAGTCAGACACAGATGCAGGCAGCAACCTCTGCCACAAGCACGAGGCAGATGCCAGAGAGATGGATATGTCAGGGAAATAGATAGCAGCTTCAGTCTCTGCAGTTCTTTCAGAACCTGTGGTTTTCTCTTGGTTTTAAATACTGACCTATACAACCTCTACATGTACGTCCTACATCTGCTTTTGTTTGGCTTTTTTGGGCAGGCAGCAATCGCTTTTATGATAACATAGAAGATATGATTGGGTACAAACCACTGTCGTTGATTAAATGGTGCTGGATGGTCTTAACTCCAGGTATTTGCGCAGTAAGTACAGAATATCCAAATACCTTGTTTTAGACATAAAGAGGGGTTTCTGTGCATATTTTTAGAATTTTGGTGCTGATGATAATTCACAATGGTTGAGAAAAATGCCTGTTGATTTGTAGCATGTGTTCTAATTAAAAAACACTCTGTAGGATCTGTAAAAATTGTTAAACATTCTGTGAATTGTGAGAAATCTTAGTATATACAATAATAGGAAAAAAAAAAATAAACTCAGGGCCCTAAATGAATATTGGCCAATACAACGGAGGCTTTTTTTCACTGCATTGCTAGTGTACCTTATGTCTACCCAGCGTAACTTAAGGTTCTTCAGACTTGTGCTGGTTTCCTTGCTGCTCCAGCCTCCTATTTCCTTCCCTCTCTTTGGGCAAGTAGACGTTTTTCAAAGAAGACAGGACATTTTCCCTTCTAGCAGAAGTAGTAGAAGAGGCCAAAAGCACGCCTCACATGCACGAAGAAGGGGAAGGGATTTGCCGTACCAGAAGCTGGCAGTACCGGTGCCAACTCTGGCAATCTGCTGTAGCCACTTACCAGGGACAAAATTACAAAAGAAGTGTCACCAGATTGTCCATAAATTTGAGCCACAAGTCCTTGAGTATTAGACGCTAAAGCCTTCCAGCTGTCCAATACGTAAATTAAGCAACTGCAAAACCACAGATGCTGGGACACCTGGAGATCCACGTTCCCTTGAGCTCTGCCAGTTCATTTGCAAACCTGGGAGAATTTCTGACTCATTTTCACTAACTCTGAAATGAACTTAATATCACTTGCTCCTGTACACTCTTTTCACCACTTTGGAGAAAAGTACGTAGTAACTTTTCTATATTTTGTAAATTTAAATGGTCCAAACTGCTTGATTAGGCACCTGTCAAATTTAGACAGATATATTTGAGCTTTTGTGAGGATGAAAGAATTGGCTTGCAGAACTGCAGATACAGACAGTGGATTAAGGCAACTTTGAAAATTTTGGCTCTCCTTTTTCATCATGACAGGTTGGAGAGAACGCAGCTTGTGTTACTTAATCACAGCTGGTTCACGGTAGCAAAACTTAATCTCTCCTGCCCAGGTACTGTTTGCCATCAAAGTGCAGGTTTTATTGTCATTGAGAGGTAAATAGGATTTAAACTTGAAAGGCTGTTCATTTTTGTGGAAGATACTGAGACATGTTATTTAAGCTGTACATAGATATTGCTGGGTTTTTTTTCCTCAGTCTGGAAAGCTTACCTCTACTTTCCATCTTTAGGGAGACTGAACTTGCCTAAACAGTCAATCATTTTCTTGTTATACAGGCAGTGTTTTTTAAAATACTGCTAATATATTTTTGTGCTTATTTCAGGGAATCTTTATCTTTTTCCTGGTGAAATACAAACCTTTGAAATACAACAATGTATATATATACCCTGACTGGGGCTATGGCATCGGGTGGATGATGGCACTCTCTTCCATGATCTGTATCCCTTTGTGGATCTGCATTAAGCTGTGGAAGACAGAAGGCACTTTCCTAGAGGTAAGATATATTTTCAGATTAATGATACTGAAAAAAGAAGTGGGAAGGGAGCGTGAATCCTCACCTGCATGAGATTAAGCACAGTTTAATCAAAAATCAGTGCCATGTACCTGTTCCAGTGGCAGCTTGGGTTAGGCCTTTCAGTCACTGGTGGAAAGAGGCATCCAAATTTTCTCTGTTTTCTTAGAATCATACAAACGCTTAGGTTGGAAAAAACCCTTAAGATCATTGAGTCCAACCATAAACCTAACAGTGCCAACTCCACCACTAAGCTGTGGTCCTAAGCATCACATCCACGTGTCTTTTAAATACGTCAAGGGACAGTGACTCAACCGACTTCCCTGGGCAAAACTTCTGAATTTTTTTTTATTTCCCCCCCCTCCCCCCCTTCACTGACATCAGCCTGTGGTAAACTAACCAACACTGTAGCTTTAAGGTGCTCTGTTCCTGCTTAATTTACAGCTTAAAATGTCTGTAACATCAGCTACATCCCTCAGGAAGGTTTGTACCAGCCATTCATTCAAGTCAGCTGCCTTCTTTCCATGGTAAACCACTTGATTTTCGTAACCAATGTTTGTGTTGCCAGGATTTTCCACCAAGAGCTTCCTAGCAAACACTCACATGTGTCTTCTGGACAGTTTTCCTGGTTATAGTTCTCTAAGTGAGAAATAGAGGCAAAAAGTGTAATTTACTAACATTTGGTATCAGGTTATCTCAGGTCTAGGCTGAGGTTAAGATTATTAACTACAAGACCTTTTCTTTCAAAGAAATATAGTGAAGATGGCTAAAATGGAAAAACGATACTATAAATCTTATTTGGCCATTTGGGATTTCTTATATTCTATAAAAGCCTGGTTCTGTCATCTGGAGTTCCTTAGATACCAGTCACAAAAAGTAGATATCCCAGTATCACATCCTTCTATCTCAATACGTATATGGAGGGGACTCTGTTCAGACCCTGCCATGCTTCCTCAGTCTTTCTGATATTCTCCAGGACAAAGGCAATGTGAAGAACAAGACAGTAGGAATTTCAGTGTCTAGGGTACCTGGGGCTTGTTAGCTTACCTAGCACTTTTGAAAGATCTCTCAGTGTGTACCCACACTTTCAAAACTATTCTGCAATCGGAACCCAAGGCTAAGACATTGAGCATGTCTCAATGTAATAGTTACTGCTTTCCTGAATGGAGAAGCTAACGTGATTCATTGTGCTGGCTGATGGCAGCCCATATTGAAGTGACTCCTTTAAGCTGATCAAATATGGCGTGGAAAGTACCTAGGAGATCTTTACTGCAAGTATATAAACAAAAAATGAATTGTCCACAATATAGTTTTCTTAGCACATCAAAAGAGGAATTTTTCCACAAATCTTAACATTAAGTATTTCCTTAATGTGTCAAACTTACCCCATCTCTACAACTAAACAGACTGTTTATAGAATCTGGTTTTGCATTGCCCTGTAGTCTGAAGCACTGCAGACAGGTTCTTATCTTCTCCATACATGGATGATGAGAGGGGATTTTTTAATTACAGTTGGGAGCTTCTCAGGAAGCCAACTTCCTGCAACATCTCTGCTCTCCAAGCTGTAAGCAGCAACGTTGCTGCTGATGGTATTGCTATGAAAGAGAAAGTTCTCAGCTGAACATGTATATTTTTCTTTTGTCCTTTATTGTCACTTAATACAGTTTGGCAATCTCTTGTTTATTTATATTTTCAGTATATGTTCTTTGACTACACCATGAGAAACAAAACATATCCATATAACAGGTCTTACCAGAGCACTGTGCTGAATTTCTTCATGGAAGGGAGTGTTACTCTGAATCAGCATGAAAAGTCACTTTGTCTTTGCCTTCGCCTTCATTCTGTAGCCTTTGGGCTGGTGTGATTTCTTGTTTTATGGATGTATCTGTAACAGGGAAATGAGAAGCAGGCATCCAAGAGAAGAGGGTTTTACAGTCTATCTTTTTTAAGAAATGTGTGTCTGTGATGAAGAAAAAGATAACGAATTCCGTTTTCTGAAATCTTCTAGAAATTCAGGAAGTTGATTACACCTAGCTCAGATCTGAAAATGAGAGGGAAGCTTGGAGGAAGAGCCTGCATTGCAGCAATAAATGACTGCGATGCCAAACTGAAAGGAGACGGCACCATTTCAACCATTACAGAAAAGGAGACACATTTCTGAAAGAACTATCTTTTCTGGGTTTTGGTTTTGGTTTTTTTTTGTATAAATAAATAAATAAATTCACTTAATTATAGAGGCTGGCTTGTTTTGCACAAGATTTTATTAACAGTTAATTTTAAAGTGAAAATTGTATACTTGTTTAAAAGTGATTTTTTTAAATTACTATGTAAGTAATGATTATGTAAAAGAAAAAGAAATAGTATTATATGGTATGATAGTGATGACTTCTTGTAATGTGATTTCAGTAAATGTTTTTTTTAGAAGTTAAACGGACCTGTATGATGTGCTGTAAAACTTTTCTACTTTGGTTTCTGGCAGGTGTAATGTTGTATAGATATACGCATTCTAATCTGTAAGCATTTCAGACCATTTCAGCTTTTAATGTATGTATATAAAGGGGACCAGAATGTCCTTTTGGTTATATTGGAAGAAATTGTGAGGGGGTGGGGGGTGACTTGTCACTGCTCTTGCATGTTACCCTCTAAATATGTGTTCCACCCAAAGTCCACGGAAAGCGGAGGGAGCCTTTCCAAACGGGGCCAGTGCCCTTGCACCAGGCTGGGCTGTGGTTCTGCCTCTCTCTAGACCAGGGTAGCTGCAGGAATGAGTTTTGCACCTAACGAAGCTCTTCTTTCATGGCAGGTTTTGTGAAGCCGACAGGAAGCACCACCTCAGCTGCTCCTGTCGCCTTCTCTCCACCCTCCGTTTGCTTCAACAGGTCTAAAAATGTGGTGGAATGGGCCCCCTTCCGAGTCACTGTTTTTCTGGAGATTGGATAGAGAATATTCCTTAGGAGCTATGAATTTTGCTGCTCTTGTAAGTTAATGGTCTCTAAGATGATGTGCTCTGCTTCAGGAGACCTCTAAAGCTTTTTAATTTTCTTTAGTGCCTGGGTGGCCAGTACTTCATGTTGGTTGACACTTTCCATCCCCTGAAGTGAAATGTGCCTGTGCTCGTCCAACAGGAGATCGGGGTTACTTTATATGTGTGGAGATATTCTGAGGGGAAAAAGAGCAGGTTTAGAGCTCTGCATACGGGGCTTCTTTATCTGTTTGCCCGTCTGGCTGTCTGTCCATCTACTCATTCCCCTCAAAAGAAATTGAGGATCCTCCAATGACAGCATGTAGCACTGTACATCTTTTCTCTTCTTCAAAGTACTTTCTAAATACTCCCAGCCTAGGCCCTGATTGTTCTACCCTGAATGGTGTCCAGGCTTGCACCAAGGTCAGAATGGGAGTTTATTTGGCGGAAGGCTAGAGTAACTGGTCCTTAATCACAGGATCATGGAAAACCAGGTTGGAAGGGACCTCAACGATCACCTGGACCAACCTTTCTTGCCAAAAGCAGGGTCTAGGCAAGATGGCCCAGCACCCTGTCCAGCTGAATCTTAAAAGTGTCCAGTGCTGGGGAATCCACCGCTTCCCTGGGGAGGTTAATCTCTACAAGAGTTCCAAGGGGTAATTTCCATATGGTGCAGATGAAGGAATTAAGACAGTGATGTTGTGACTTCTCTGCTTTGCCGAAGGAGAAGTGTTGGGTTTGTGATATCAGGTCTTTTTATTCAGTTATCAGTTATATGAACTGACTTCCTCCAGTTTAAAACATATTTTGTATGTGAATCCAACTGATGGATGGTTGTTAACATGAGGTATGCAAACTCTAGTCCCAGTATCAAAATCTCTAGACTATTTATTGTTTAGTTGGTTTTTTTTCTGGACTTTTTTTTTTCTTGTCCTGTTTTTTGTTTAATGGTTGTATGAGAAACATATGGGGCAATACTGTACTATGCTGCACAGTATTTGATGGGGAGAGACAAGCAACAGCCTAAGACAGCTCAGAGGAAATGTCATAAAATCTGCTGTCTTCTCTGAAGTTCAAAATCACTGAAGGTCAGATACCAGCATCTGTAGTTTTTAGAAACTGCTGACCTTCTACAGAGGAAAACATTTCACTAGGAGTCACTAAGTATGTCTTGATATTACATGGAACTGTACATGTAGTCAGCATTTCTTTGAGATTTTAGTTACCTTTTAAAATAACATTATCATAGAATCACTTTGTCTCAAGTGACATCATTAAATCTAAGAGATCTGTTTAATTTTACTTCACGTTATTTGTATTTTTCATGTGGTAAGGTGGAAGTCTAAGAGTGAACTTCTCTACCACAATTCTGCTTCACATATTTTAAGTCCAGCTTGCCTTTGCACGTCTCCACAGTTAGGTGCTCAGGAAAGGCCATTTTGAAGGCCTCTGCTTTTGTGAAGGTACAGAACCATATTCTTCTGAATTCTGGCCTCCCTCAGAGGGAGTCTCCACCTTGGCATCCATTACTGGAGTTACCAGTGAAAATCCCAGTCCCACTGGACCAGACTTCTGGAAGAGAAAAGCTCCCAGAATTTAAACCACAAACTGAGTTCTATAACTACAGAAAATACAATAAAGCAACTGAAAGCTAAACATTGACATTGAAAAAATACCCACTCCAACACCTTAACATTTTTGGAAGTTCTAATGAGTCTCAAATATTTCTAAGCCTGTGTCCCTTTCTGGTCTTTCTCTCCAGCCACAAGAGTTGCAGAACTAAGGCCCCAGAGGCACATGTGGGCCTTGGGATGGATTATGTTCCTTCCCAGAGTAAACATCAACACTTTTTCCTATCAGTGAGGGATGTGCAACTGTAGATCCACTGTTAGGTTACACTTGGCCTTGATTCCAGTGAAGTTACCCTCAGCAATCAGGACTCCTCAGGAAGGTTGATGTAGAAAGTGCCAAGAGGCGGAACCCACGCCACTCAGCTGCCCATCTGCTAGACCCAGAGTGAAAATCCCAGACAAGCCGAGATTGCCCCTTGAATCACACCACACACTGCTGGAGCAGAAAAAATTGACCTGTACATTTTAGCTTGTCAGTGTATGTGAACTGTTGTACTCATCCAAATATCTCCACAGGAACTATGTCCTTTGTAGGGAACATGCTTCCTGTTCTGCTGCTACGAACCATTTCACCCTGAGCTTTATACACATACATGGGGTTTGGCATGGTCTAAAGTATTGCTATACAGTACTATACCGTGTTACTAACGTGCTGTGTTTGTAAATGTGTGCGGTTAATATCTGACTTGTTTAACACTTTACTGATTTTTAAAAAAAAATATTTTTCTTTTGTGGTGGGAGGGCTGTGGGAGGGTAAATTTCCTAATAGTATTTGTGGTTTTCTTTTTGTTTTATTTTTTTTTAAACAATATGAACGGGGAAAAATGTAAAAAACCAACTATATTGTGATGATTTTTTTTTATGCAGTAGAAAAAATATTGCCCTTTTCTGAAATATCTGCAGTATTATTAAAAATAATACAATAAAAATGAACCACCACTAAGGTTTATGTAACATTTTACACAAGGAAAGATTCTGTTTGTTTTTGAAGGGAAAAAGATTTCTTCTACTTGTTTTCAAAAATTAAAGGAAATGGGCAAAACCCATTCTGTGTAGTTTAGTTTATATCAGTGTATTTTATATAACCCTCACCTAACAAATCAAATATTCACAACTACCCTGTTAGGGCAGATGTATGTCCCTTGATTTTAAATGGGGAACTTGGAAACAAGAGAAGATTTAGCAACTTCTTTCAGCTCATCCAGTAGAACTGTGGCTGAAACAAACTGGAGTTTCCTCATCTCCCAACTTAGCGTCACTGTTATTTCCTATAAATCCATGTTGCCGTGGAAAAGTGCAGACCTGCCGCCACTCTCCTCCCCTGCCCCATCCCTCCCCACCGCTGGCTGTGTCCTGCCGTGGCCTGTTCTGTGTCACTGGCAGTGGCAGGAGAGCCACCTCAGGGACCGAGCTGCCCGTACCTGCACCCAACAGAACCACTGGGTTACTCCCCAGTAACTCCAGCTTAGTGCCTGCCCATCCAAACGCTGGTGCTGAAGGGGACACCGCAGCAAGGTGAGTTCCACCCGCCAGCTGCTCTCTACGTTATGCTGGATTAAAATAACCTGCTAACCATGGCCTGGGACACACGCCAATGCTGTCCCTTTGATCACCTTTTGTGCTATGATTTTATGCCTTTATACTCTTCTTTCTTATGTCATTGGTACGGGAAGGAACGCTTGCTTTAGTACATGACACACTGATGAACAATTCCCATATCCTACCCTGAGGCATCATCCTATTATAGGATGACACACCGGAAATGAAGCTCGTTTCTTAAAGGCTGTTTCTCATCCTGATTAATGAATCATGGTGACAATAAGGAAAATGTCTATGGATTTTGACAAAGCCTTTCCCTTCCTCTCTGACTGTACCAACTGCTCTACCCAGCAGCAAAGATACCACAGGAATGACGTGCGCCCGTTTCTCAGGGTTGATGTCCTTGCACCCGCAGCAGCAGCTCCTGGATCCAGCCAGGCAGCGCTACAAGGCTCTTGGCCCCATCTTGCAACTAAATATCTCTGAATACTTGTAAACACTTGGTGATTAGGGGAAAATTGCTGCTTCCCTTCTCCCCTACCATTTTTTTTTTAAAGGGACAGGATTTACTTGTTATGAACTCTGATCCCAAAGAGAAGAAAACCCCTTTTTTAAAGAAGCCTTCCTAAGCAAAGACTCGGTTTGCTTAATTTTAGTCAAGAACAACAGAATGAAGAAATCACTGAACAGCTGACTGAATCCTTAGAATGGAAATATTTAATTGGGAAATCTCTGTAGGTGTCACTACTCTCTATTCCCATAGTGTATATATCACAGCTGCATAGTGAGGATTTACTGATGTTAAAAATAATCTGAAACCAGTCATCTGTAAATACCAAGTACAGTCTCTACGGCTGTCTGCGTGGAAAGATCTGAAGGGAGGATTCTGGGAAAATTTTCCATTTCTTTGACCAGCTTCTTATTTGCAGTGCTCCGCGTTGATCTTCAGCTTGGCTGAGGTCTCTATTTGCTCCTGATCTTGGTGGGTGGTGTGGGAACAGAATTTTGGTTCCTTTATATGTTGAATGAGAAACATTGACTAAAGATATTTGGAATAGGGGTGTGAATGTAAGAATCTGTTAAAAAAGCCCCACTATTAACATGAACATGGTGAAAATCTTTTTTAAAAGGTGAAACCATAGCAATGCAAAAAGCTGTCTCATGAAAAGCTCTGCCACCCTAAAAATCGGTTCTTTAGCTATAAAAATAGTTGCATCTCATCATATTTTGTTCATTCATTATCAAATATTATTAGTTGTATTGTTCATACCACATCGTGCGTTTATTTCTGAGGTATATTTGTGAACTTATTCTACTGTGTGAACTTATTTCATGGAGATGGGAGAATTCATCTTGGGAAGAGCTAAATGGAGCAAATTCCCAGGAGCCACCAAGGCATTGTGTCTAATCCTGAGCCTGACACAGAAAAGCACT